CCCCAAAACCCCAAAACCCCAAAACCCCAGGTCACTGCAATTAAATAAATAAAATAAATTAAGAATTGAAATTAGATAGACTCTAAATATATCAAGCAAGAGCGAATAGCTAAGTAAAATAATATCTCCCATAATAGCAATAAACTGAGATACCACAGAGATTATTGTTTGCAAGCATGTTTTTCCTATGTCCTGGAGAATTAATCCAACCATTTACAGCTACCTCTACAGGATCAGCCATGTTATAATTGTAAGCAACGTTTTCTGAAAAGGATCTTACAAAGAAAGGTACCTAGCGCATTCTCTCTTTGAAGCCTTCATGTCCAACTGGATACTTCCCAGTAGCCATATTTACATTATGAGGTTACCCAATATCATGAAGCTATTGATTCCAGGAGAGTGCAGGTAGACCGTGAGATGCCCTAAATTAGTTGGTTAATTCTAAAGCTCTGATACCCCACCTCTCAGAGTCGCCTTTTCCTGCTGCTGTGGCATTATTTTTAAATCTGGTCTCATCATCTATTTTTTTCTAAAGGTCCTAAGAAGTTATGACTTTACCTACTTATTCCTATCGATAGTTTCTTCTTTGCATCTCTCGATAGTACTTGATCTAATCCATATAGCTTTCCAATTTTATATTTTAGTTTGTTAGCTCTCTTTATGCTTGATAAATCTCTGGTTAATACTATTATCTGGTTGACCTTTCTTAATGAGCACTTTAAAGTTTTGACTTCATAATATTTTCTGTGTTCTTAATTTTGTCAACTTATGCTTTTACTCTGGAGTTCACTGGTACTGTTATTTTAGAGGTTTTAAACTCCTCCTTGCTACTGAAATTTGAAGCTAAGTTTCCTGATTAGTTTTCCATATTAATAGTCAAAGGAGACATATTGTTCTTAGAGAAGACTTCATTAATGATTTATACCACAATGTTAAACTCTCTCATATCAATCCTTTACTGATTTAATATATAGTAATCTTCTTAAATAGCATCGAACTAGCTATCATCATACCACTACACTTTTTCAAACCCAAGCATTTCTAGAATAAATCTGCTCTACTCACATTCTGATACCGCTGTCTTAAGTTTTTCATTTGATAATCTAAGTCTCTAAAACTTCTTATTTGTTGGCTCATTGATAATATTCTTTAAAATAGTTTGCAAAATTTTCAAGTTCTAGAAAAAATAAGCGTCTGATTTAAGCTGAACTCTCATAGAAAGTAATATCTCTCTAAAAATGCTATCTGAAAGTTCAATGTACGGAATATTTTCCTTTGGTACATACTATTCTTAGTTTTAATGTTGTTCTAATTGCTATTCTAAATTATTTTATTCTTGGTATTACTAGAATTAATTGTTATCAATTTCTAGGCTAGGGTATATCTACTCCTATTAATCAGTATACTCTGATTTGATGCCATTACTATCTCGAATATCAAAATAGTTTTCTGACACGATGTTCTTAGTCAAATCATTCATGGATGAGTCCTTATTTTATTCTTCCGGTTGTATATTTATCAAAATTTATTGAGCGGTGTTTAAATTTTTTTCAGCAGCTTCAAAATAAATAAGATTGATAGCTTCCTCATCCATGTATGGAAATTGCAACTTCAGCGTTTAAAGGTCTTTTTACTCTAAATTGCTTATATTTTGCATTCCCCTATTTTATTGAATTAACTAAATATTATTTTAATCCGATATTGTATAATTATATATCTTTTGGGGTTTTGGGGTTTTGGGGTTTTGGGG